TTTGAAACGACCGCAATTTAAACTAATATTTATAGCTAGATGATTGGCTCAGAAGCATGCCTGAACTAATTTAGACTCACGACTGGCGTTAGCCTTGTTGTCTCGTTCTATTACAATGCGATATCATAGTTGTTTCCTTCTGTCGTATTAGCATACGCGAGGCAGGCACGCCTACATGAAAGGAAATAAGCAGGTGTTGTGGCAACACAGTTGCGGAATTTTAGATAAATTATACTTCACACGTTTTTCAAAATTCAATAATAAATGATATTATTTTTCTTATAATAAATCGATTTAATCGAAATTATATTTCTATTCTAAAATAAACATATTTTAACACTATCTCTCATCTTGTAGCCATCACAGTTACCAATAAAATAAATACAGATTCCTTCTTTAGATTTGTTTTGGTTATTAAATTCTGAACTGTTAAAAAAACAAATCTGTGGTTATTTACGCAATATTTTGTTTATTCTTTTTCTATGAGTTTATCTATTTTATGATTCTTTTGTAAGTGTTTTATTCTGTGGGTTTAGTTAATTGAACTTGGTGATTTATGTGAATTTAGTCATTATGGATATTACGGTGAGAAACTGTACCGATATTGTTGACCTTCACGTGGTTCTTGCTGAACAATGAAATAATAATTAGACAAAAATGAGGTTTATTTAAAATAAACGTCATTTTTACAATAAAATATACCTATTTTATTGACAAGTATTTTATTGAAAGTAGAGGATTCCTTCCCCACCACAGTCTAAGTAAGTTTTTTACTTAGTTTTAAGTATAGGTTGTGAACTGCGACGTCAGTTTTTTTAAGTTGGGTTTAAAAAAATTTCTTCGCCTTTAAATGAGGGCGAAACCCTGCCTCTGCCTCACCAAAATGAAATGTCACGGGCCGCCACTGACCATGTCATAATTATTGGTTTATCCCAGTCCCTGAACAATTTTGCAAATACCTACTACTAGTACCTACCTATTCGGAAAAATAATATTCAATAATTACTCACCAGAAATGTGGTAATAACCTCACAATGATATACACTTCCTAACACTAACTAAAACTGCACACTGATGATGCAGATTGCAGTTGAGCGACCGGCCGGCATTTTATTTCAAGCGGAAAATGATTTCATTGGTTATCTTAGGTGGTTTGATGCTTCACACCCGAACAAAATGTCTAATATTGTAATATTTATATTCTAACTCAAAGTTATACTATATTTATACGAATTATTTAAAAAATTGTACATTTATTTTTTAAATATTTTTAAGAACAGATTTCAACTCTTTTCATGCCAATATTTTACAAATGGTTAAATAAAAAATCTTATGTTTCCAACAAATTATAGAAAATTGACTTAAAAAAACTAATAAGTAAAGTATGCTCCAATGGCATGTTGCACAAGTTTGTGCAATGTTTTTCAAACGGATTTTTCTCTGTGTATACCTTAGTACTAATATAGTGTACTAGTCAGAGTACATATTAAACATTAAACATTCATAATGGCCGCCATAACTTATAGTAAGTTTGATACATCGTTGGATTTCTTAAAAAAAAATTTAACCATGTAAAATTCCAATATGAAAAACAAAAGATGGTTTTGGTAACTCAAAATCTAGTAGGTATTTTGAAGAAAACTTGCCGGGTTAAATTTTTATTTAATTTTAAAAATTCGTCTTTTATACTTTAAATCATACTTTATTCCTAAAACATTTTTTTATAATTTTTTTAAAACCAATTTCATCATTGTAAAATCTGGTAGGAATTATACATGAGTGGATCTTTTACATTACCGTAACTTCCGATTTATTTTAAAGTATTTTTTTCGCCAAAAGGAATTAAAGCATTTCCTACACATTAATGTTCCATGAAAATGATAAATTTAACAGGATGTCTGGATATCAAATATAACGAAATCGATCATTACAAAAAGCATTAATATTTGCTTAACAACAGATCCCCTGACATATTACTTAAAAGGTCTTGAATTATAAAAGGTTTATATTCACAGGAAATTAGTTTTTAGCAAAAGGTTAAAACTATATGAGTGTACCCAAGCAGCATTTTAAGTTAAAATAACTTAAGTTATTTTTACATTACACATAAAAGGTTAAAAAAGGGTAATAAAAACAAATTAACACCACATATTCACGTAAAAATAACGTTAAAATTACTTAATGTCTGTTCTCTCTTTATACCCCTTTAATATTTATATTTTTTATATTTTTAATATATAATTCAATACCGTATACTTAAGTAGGTAATAAAGTTTACTATAATAGTATATTATGTATCAAGTTTGATAAACGCCATTTTATACACGAATTTAATTTAGGCAAGAGCGAGCTTGCGAGCGAGTGCTTAAATTAATGAGTGTATAGAAAAGTTTATAAACGAGGTGCATACTATACTTTTTCTACGACAAATACTTATTATTATCTTAAAATGATTTAAATCAAAAATTTGTATAGAGCGCCATCTATGAAACAATAGGGGAATCTGTGTGTCACCGTCAAATGTCACATTTTTGTATTTTACAAACACAGATTATAAAGGTTATAAATCGAAATGTATTTCTTGAAAATTGACAGTTTTTCACAGTGAAAGTAAAGAAAATGTTTTATGAGGAGTCTTTGCCCGACTTTAAGTTATAGTTTACTGCCGGCGAAATTAAAAGGTCAGTACAATGTTCATATAAACTTTTCAAATATTGGCGTTAAGAAACTATTTAATAATTTTGTATTTTTCTATTGAGATAATATAATAATTTTCACATTTAGTACCTATTATTTTACAAGAAAGGCAATTTATTTTAACGATTGTATGACATTTGACAACTGTCAACTAACTTAAAACTAACTTCAGCCCGTGACTAAAAACTTGTTGCTAACTTCAGCCCGTGACCGAAGCGCTATAAAGCCACAACTTGTCAATGTGTATTTAAAAGGTCACTTAGTGTCATGGAAACATGTACGATAAAGGGCGTTTTAAAGGTGGGAGTAGAAAATAGTATATTATGTATCAAGTTTTATAAACGCCATTTTAGTTACGAGTTTAATTAAGCACGAGCGAAGCTTGCGAGCTTGTTTTACTTAAAATATTTTATCTACTCCTACATTGACGAGCTGTCACTTTATGGCGATTTATTGACGGACTGAAGTTAACAACAGTGGCTTTTCGACATTTTACGTCACGGGCTGAAGTTAGCTTTATTATAAATTGGGAACAAGTGAGGTTAAATTCGGGTGACAGTTGACAGATGTCAAAATTTTAACAAATAAAATTGGCTTTAAATTCTGTTTTGTGTTCGTCGTAGATAAAGTATAGTATGCAACTCGTTTATAAACTTCTCTAGACACTCGTTTTAATTAAACACTCGCTCGCAAGCTTCGCTCGTGCTTAATTAAACTCGTAACTAAAATGGCGTTTATAAAACTTGATACATAATATACTATTAAGTAAAACTCTTCAAATCACACTGCTCATTTGTTTAAAAAAATCACGTAACAACGCTTTCTTGGCCGCCGAGGAGCCCCGATTTAACCCCAATCGAAAATATTTAGGGATATTTTGTAAAATCATTCTTAATTTTATAAATAGACTACTATTACGTGAGTTCATGAAAAAAAAACTTAATATAATAAAACGAAAAAAAAATGTTTTTATCTTTCATTATTTTTAATTATACAGCCGTCAGTTGCATATATTTAAATATCGCGATCGTATCTACACGATTCACCCCCTTCCCTGTAGTCAGATGCTCCACATTCACATTACACCCCATCGTTGCCAAATGTATCCGCAAACCGTTCTCATCGAGGCAATGTTGTAAAAAATACCCGAAATGTGGGAAATTTACGACATTCGGCAACGCTGTTTGGGTTGCCATATTGATCGCCTGTTGCGCATAGCCTACTGCGCAGGCGCCCGGCACCGCATGTCTTCTGTCGGCGGTGTTGCCACGTATACATGAAATCCCTGTTTTGAGTTTTTCTTTAGTTTTTCGTGTTTTGTGTTGAGTTTTTTGTAGCTAGGTGATTGTTACGTTAAAATAGAAATGTGAGGGGTCGTTTTGCATATTTCATTAATTTTAGTGTGTTTTTGATATTTGCTAACTTTTCGATATGGCAACGCAGTAAAATCATTTGTAAGTCATACGAAGTGCTATATTACTGTTAGTGAAGTTTTCTTTGGTTTATTAAGTTGGTAATTCTTTGATTTGGATGTGAGTACTTTTTTGGTACATTTTTATACGTATATATTTTGTTTTTAAGGTTTCTTATTTGCTTTTTTTAGTATTATTAAATTACATTTTGAAAGAATCCTATTAAAACATCTTATAGATATCAAATTTCACGAAATATTTAAGGTTCATTATTTTTAATAATGCTGTCGACATTTTTTATCGGTTTGAACACAATCCACAAAACAAGGTCTGTTCTATCTCATGCTAAAAATACTAAAAATCACTGCAACACTGCACAGAGTTTAACGGCGGCCATTTTTGTTGTTTTGTGCTGTTTAATAATTGTTTTAAACGTTGGGTTTCTTACAGAGGCACTTGTAAGCCTCAAATAAGGCCTTTAAGTGCTAAGGACAACCATTTTACTCCTTTTATAATAAATATACCTTATTCTATCAGGGCTGTCAAATGACAATTTGAAGGTTAATTTGTGTGTTATAATTTAACCTTTAAATTGACATTTGACAGTTTTATGACAGCCCTGATAGAATAAAGTTTATTTTTTACAATAGAGGAGTAAAATGGTTGTTCTTAGCACTTTAAGGCCTCTTTTAAGGCTTACTATGAGAAGCACAACGTTTAAAACGATTATTAATCTGTATAAACAGAGCACTAACCCAAAGCACATAAATTGTAAACAACAAAAATGGCCGCCGTTAAACTGTTCAGTGTTGCAGTGATTTTTTGTATTTTTAGTACGAGATAGAACAGACCTTGTTGTGTGGATTGTGGGTTTGAAAAAAAAATCACAAATGGTTAAATAAACATATATTCTGTCAAATTTGGTTAGAAACTAGGTGCTAAAACATCGCTTTTTGTACAGTCCTTGTCAAAATTAGTGCAGAAATAATCGAACTCCTAAAATCATAGCCAAAATCGTATTTATCATCACCGGTATACCTCAAGGTTCAAATTTAGGACCGTGGTTTCAAAGTGCGGCTCGGTGGCGGGGGAAGGCGCGAGAAACCGGAAGAATCGAAGACCGGAAGTAGTCGTTCCTTACTTCCTCTCAGAAGCTCCTTTTTGAGTGGTTCTGTTGGGAAATATGTCGCTCCGTAAAAGTCAAGTCCTTGCTGTAGTAAATTGTTAAATTCGTCAAGGGAGGCCATGGTAACTCTTATGGGGTTTGGTGTTCCGGGTGCCTGGTCGATTTTTGGCGGGATCCTAGTAACCTCAACCTGCGAAAGAAATGATAGTTCAAGGTACAATTATGATCTATTGATTTAAGAGTACGTCTTGAGACATCATAAGATGCAGACGCGCAAGCGATCGCTTCTAAAGAGTAAGAAAGTAATAAGTAAAAGCCTATCAGTAATAATAAATCGGTCACAGTGTAGTTAAATTTATAAGGAAATTTTAAGTGTATACAGTGGGCAATTGGAGCCCTGGTACCTATCTCCAAATGTCTTCAGCAAAGCGCTAATACAGTAGTGCAGTGCAATACAACAAGTGAAGAATGTAAGAAATCAGTTAAACTACCTGTACAGGTGAACTCAATGTACCAGTCTCCAGTGGACAGTAGCAACAAAAGATAAGTTCAATATCTTTAATCCGCATGATTTAACTTGCATTCTCTATACTAAAAAAGTATTCTTGCATTTTCTCGAAAAGGTTAAGCGTCTTCAACGCATATGGGTGAATATATTGAGATGTCCCCCAAGTGAAAATGATTATTTTTTTTTTTGGTTGTTTCACTGTTGGTCTAGAATGGGGTTTTTGGAAAGCCACCAGGTCTAGTAATAACATAACATAAGTGGTTCTGCACTAATGCAAGAATTTTAAGAAATCATACATTTTGAATATTAGAGCTTCACGGAAGATAGCTTCACGGAGGTTAGGATTTCTTTTGACACCTTAATATTTTTAAAAAATACAATTGTACATAAGTACATAAAATATTTATAAAAAAATCTACTTATCTACTGAGATATTAACTTCACGGTGGATAGGTTTTTAAATAGCAAATTAATGAACTTAAACTTTTGAATTATAAAACAGCAACACTCTCATCTGCATATAAATTCTAACTGACCTTCAGGAATCACATGCATCTGTAATGTCGTAAACAGAGGTTTTTGCTTATTTAAAATGATTAAAGCGCCATCCGTTGCATAAAATTTAAAGAAAAAGCAGATTCACGGAGGATAGAATCAATTTTTGTAACACCTACATAAATGGTTATAAAAATTATTTCTTTTAATTTTTAATAATATTTTATATTTGATTCGATTGCTTTGGATGTGTTTAATGTACCTAGTGAACTGATATTTTTAGTATGCTTTTACTACCTCAGATATTTGAAAACATATAGGTTAACCTAAAAAGAGTAACATTCACGGAGGATAGGTTTTAGACTTTTAAAACATTGTAAAAAATAATTAATTGCGGTTAAAAATCAAAATCAAAACACAATAAAAGTGTAGGTCAAACTCATTTAGTTTTATTAAATATCACGGGGTAACACATTTCGTGGGATTCACCCATATAAACCAGGAAAACAAAAAAGCCAAACAAGGAAAAAATAATTCCCACAGGATAAACGTAATTATTCGTAAAAATCGGTACAAAACCAAAACTAAACAAACATCCGTGATATGCAATAGGCGTTAACATAAACGAAAAGTCAAGTGCAGTCACCTAGACACCAACAATAAACATGCCAACACACCAATATTTTTTAATAAGTCTTTACTGAAATAAAGCTAAGGCTTACGCACAGTGGGCAAATAATTTGTATCTATCCCAAGCAGCATTTTAAGTTTAAATAACTACAAATTTACTGCTAAGTCAACTTTAAAGTATTTTTTACGGTTAACCAAAACGGTTTTATAACGGTATAGATACGAAAAATTACCAAATTTGGGGAATGGTTTATTTCGTTATTTTACCTACATAATAACCTTTTTGATCTACTAAGAGAATAACGTAATAAAAACAATATAAATACCACAAATTTACGTAAAAATAACGCTATAATTACTAACTGTTTGCTCTCTCTTTCTAAAACATTGACATTCATAATTTCTTTGTTCTTTTAATTTATATTTTACAAAATGGTACTTACAAAGTAATAAAAGCAACCTCAGAGTAAAATTAAAAAATATAACTTTAATTGTCAAAACTAATAATATTTTGCATTAAAACTCAAATGCACATTATTTTATTGATAAAAATAAGTACGATACATCTAAAAATTATATGCCCTCTAAATATTTTACGGTTTTAAGAAAAATTATTGCTTGGGTAAAAATTCAAAAAAACTTAAAACCTACAAAATTTTATAAAATCTTTTAAAAATCATTTAGTTTTAATCATTTTTTAACAACTAAAACTTTCCTTATTATATTTTAGAAAAATATTTATGAAAAAATATTATATAAATGTTTAGATAAGTAATGGATGCCATCTTAAAAAAATCATTATGGCGACCTGAACAAAATTTTCCCTTAAAGTTTTATTTTTCACTTTAAGCTTATTTTTCCTTGTTTAGTCAATATTAATAGTATTTATTACCACTAATAACCCTAAAAAATCATTATGGCGACCTGAACAAAATTTTCCCTTAAAGTTTTATTTTTCACTTTAAGCTTATTTTTCCTTGTTTAGTCAATATTAATAGTATTTATTACCACTAATAACCCTAAAAAATACTAGGCGAATAGGTATTACTTACGGTTATAAAGTGGTCTTAATATCGTAAAATTATGACTTATGAGTAACATTTACCATTAAGTAAAAATTCTGAGGTTAAAATTACCGTTAATTTTTTCTTTAGGTGAAATACACTTATAAGTAATTTTCTTTCGTAAAAATTACGTCCCTTATAATACTTTAAAGTGTTGAAACTTAAGGGTTATTAAAATAGGTAAAAATAACATAAATAAAACTTATTAAATAACTTTAAAAAAAGTTTTACCTCAAAGTAATTTTTTAAAGTTAATTTAACAAAATATTTACTTAAATTAAGTAATATTGCCTCAAAGCTCTACGATTTTATTTAAAATGCTGCTTGGGATTACTTTCCTTTACAAATAATTTTCGCATAATTCGTTATAAACAAAAAAAACTATTGTTAACTATCGGTAGACACCACAGACCACCTGTGGTAGACACATTGCCGACAACCGAAAACTATCGATGGTTCTCTCTAGACTAAAGAAAAGGTTTCGCACAGTGAGGCAAACAGTGCAGTGCCCGAAACTGACATTCTTGACATATAAAACTTTATAAATATAAGGCTTATAGTTTTAATGATATAGGTAGGTACCTAGATAAATTTAAATGATGATATACTAAAAACCACGAAGGGTATTACCATGAGGTTTTAACACATTACTAAACATAATATTCCTTATAACTACACTATTTTATTATCAATCTAACTCATATGGTTCAGAAAATATCAAACTTTTGCTTACCACAGACATGTATCGGTAGAGGCTAGCTCTGATGTCATCTTCTGGGAGGTCATTTGGTACCTCGTGCACCAGAAGAGAGTATGTGCGTTGAGGTCTGCAAGGGATCGCCACTTTTCTGTATAATCTTCCACCAGTTACCTGTGGAAAAGTCAAGTGGAGTTAAATCGCAACGTCTCGGTGGCCAATTTCACCGAAGTGAAGTTTTTACCTTATGAAATCCTTTTCTAAAGACCTGTTGGTAGTCTTCGGGTTCTGAAAACTTGAACAAAATTCCGGTTGCAGTTTTCGTCAAGCTGAAACTGCCTCTGAAGTTCAGTTTGTCGCAAATGTTCGCTGCCTTGTCCAAACTTAAATCGTGCGAAGGTGTCAACAGAAATGCGCCTGGAAAATTTTAAATTAAATAAGTTTTGTTTGTATGAGAAACTGTGACGAAATACTCTTTAGGTATTGGATACAATAGAGGCGCACTGTAGTCAAAAAGCTTCGTTTTACGGAAATAATTTAATTGCATCTTAAGCCGTATAAAATACTAAAAAATAATTTTAATTTATATGTCGAGTGTACGAAATTCATTTAGAAAAAGAATGACAAAGTGTTAAAGGGGAACATTTTGAAGAATTTCTCAGACATGTCAGACGATAAATTAAATTAAATTTAATTGTTAATATTTTTTAGTATCTTATAATCTAATAAATCATAATTCAGTAACCGAAAGCGCAAATCAAACATTTTTTTTGCCCACATAGGTACCTAGTTTGTTTCGTAGATTCGATTTTTTTTAAAACAGTAGGTACATCGTCCCTATTAAAAAAAAAGTTCCCCCGCTCCTCAAAATAGGAAAAGGGGGTAGGTGACAAAAATGTGTTCAAATATGTCCTCCCCCTTTCTATTAGTTTTCCAAAATTTTATAAAAAAATGTTAAACCATTTTTTAAATATCCCCTTGTAACACTTTAAAAATTTCACCCGGTATTTTAATTAAAAAAATATTATTTTATTTTTATTTATTTATTTATATTTGTCAAATTATTTTTTTTTTGTTTTTTAACCATTCTTCATTCTTATATTTGATTTTCATCTAAATTTTGATTTTTTTAACATTTTCATAAAAAAGAAATCTTTGTTATTATCTAAATATAATTTTTTTAGAAATTCAAAAGAAACGCAGAAGGTACTAATTTTACATAATACTTTTACTTTTAGATAACTTTTGATAATCAGCTGATAAACGCGTGTGTTACAAACGAGTGTTTTTGAGAATAAAGCCGGAAAATGTTAAAAAATATCGAAAAAAACCGTGGCACGATTTGTTCTGTTGTTGGGTGTATTTCGAGAGGAAATCCTGGGTTAAGTTTTTATCGGTTTTCCAATAAACAGTGTTAATCCGAATGAAGAAATAAATTTCATACAGTTAATATAAATTGTATCTATTGGATACAATTAATATACATTTTAGTAATGATTAACGTGAAAAGTGTAAACATTTCAATTCAGTAATAGTCGTCAAACAAATAAGTCGTCTAAATTTAAGCGTTGATTAAAAATTCTTTATCTATTTTGGTTTCATAATGACTTCATTATAACACCGCTTTTGGTTCTTTAATGAGGTACTTTATTCCACCCAAAATTTTGATTTTATAGGTTGGCTACTGGTAAAATACAATTTTGAATACCTATAGGTTATAATATTTTTATGATTTGTTTTCTAGTACTTACGAGACTTTTCGTGTAATAAATTTTGTTTAACACCAAAGAAAATCCTTTTTTCTTCTTTAACAGCCGCTTATTGTAAATACTTATTGTAAATTAACGACGCCATAGCGAAAGAATGTGATAATGTTTGAAAGGTTAATGACCTTTCAAACTTCAAACTTTGTTATCTATGATACCAACTATGTAAAGTAAAATTTAACCAAATTAAATATAAGGTATAAAATTAATTTGTTTTATAAAATGTTTGCAAAATAGATAAAATAGCATAAAGAACTCATGTCATAAGACCTTTTGTCGCACTTGTCCATTATAAAACTCGCTCCTTCGTCGCTCGTTTTATAAATTGTCCGCGTGCGACAAAATGACGTCTTATGACATTAGTTCTTTAATATACTATTAAAGTCTCCACTCAACGGTAAAATACCATTATTTTATGTATTATATTTAAAAAAATGTTGCCATGAATTCGTAGGTATATTTTGTTGTTTAAAATGCAGTTGTCGGCGGTTTTTAGAGAACTCAAATATAAAAATGGTTGATTTTAAGGTTATGTTTGTGCAAAAATTATTTTTTACTAATTTCTTATAAATGTCCAAACTTAAATATAAATTATATTAGGTAAAGTTATCATTAATTAATTCTGCACCAACAAATGTACTTACCGAATTGGATCCTTTGGCAAAACATGAAAATGCAACGATAGTTATTTACAAACACAATAATTCACCATGATCCCTTAGATAAAATACACACACTAACGTAACTATATAAGCATTTAAGCGTTGAGTTTCTTAATCAATGATATAAGGAATAATCAATCGAAATCGAGTTCTAAAAAAGTTTTTTTAATTTTTTCCTTGCAACGTAAAACACAAATAACGTGCGCGATTAAGCTGTGCAATTGAACAAAATTTGACGAGTAAGACTTCTGTTTTCGAAATGGGGTCGTTTGGTGAAAGAGTCAATTTTTTTTCATCCAGTACAATCAGAAAATTAAGTAGTTACATATAACAAGATTCAAAAGACCTTTCAAATAATAGGTCACATGACCCACTTTGCATTTTTTTAAATGTGAACTTTTGGTAGTACAGTCTAGGCCTTCTGGATATTGAGCGACGATAGTCAACTTTTTAATTTTTTATGGCCGCCATATTGGTTTTTGACACTACTAGGTAGAGAAAAAAATTAAATTTTCAGATATGTTCATGAACTGCAGTATTGTGATCTAATTTACGGTAATTGGGAAAACTTGTGTGAAAAGTTCATAAAATTGAATAGGCTGTGGAAAAGATTGGCAATTGTCAGATTGTATCGATAGTTGGTAATTGATAGTAGTATTGTCAAAAACCAATATGGCGGCCTTAGGAAATTAAAAAGTTGACTATCATTCCTCAAAATCTAGAATTTTTTTGCCAATTTCATTACGTCAAAGATACAAAGCCACCAAGTTTTATCAACATTAAGTACCTAATTTAAAATTGTTTGGACATTTTTTCTTTTTTTTGTAATAAGGTTAGGTTAAGGTGCTTTTTATTTTTAATTCAGTTTTTTTAAGTAAAATTCTGTTTCTCGTAATTACTGGGTGATTCCATATAATATTAGTACATACGAGGTGTGTTCAGAAAATAACGGGAATTGTTAAATTTCGCGGGTTTGGAGGGTCCGGTTGTCATAAAATTTTCTTTATTATGTTGGTATACATGCCCCCGAAGTATGATAAAAACTTTAGCTGTTTTCATTGTTTACTTTGTCTGTGGCAGCCGCTAAGGTTAGACGTGTTTTATGAGCTCGGCGATTTTTCGTTCGTTAAAAGAAATGGATCAAAGAATTTGTATCCAATTTTGCTTAAAAAATGAATTAAATTCTGTGAAATGTTAAAAGAGGATAGGCCACTATAGAGTGAGTCTGCTATAAGTAAAACAAGAGTATACAAGTGGTATAAGAGTTTCCAAGATGGCCGTGAAGACGTTGAAGATGACGAACGCCCCGAACGCACAAGCACATTAACAACCGATAAAAACATGGTAAAAGAAAGAAATGGTTATAAACCAGCAAAGAAGTCGCTGATGATGTTGGTATATCGATTGGCTCATCCCATGTAATTTTTTCGAATTTTTTGTGTATTAAACGCGTGGCAGCAAAATTTGTTTTAAAATTGTTAAATTTGGAACAAAATTTTTGGCCAAAAACAATACTGTAATGATGCCCCAGCCTCCATATTCGCCAGACATGCCTCTGTTTGACTTTTTCCTATTCCCAAAAATAAAGAGAACCTTAAAGGCCGTCGTTTTGCAAGCATAGATGACATTAAAAGCGCATCGCTGAAAGAACTAAAGGCTATCCCAAGGATCGAGTTTTAGAAGTGTTTCGAGTATTGGAAGAAGAGATGGCACATGTGCATAATATCCAATGGGGACTATTTTGAAGGCGACAACATTAATGTAGACGAATAAATAAATATTTTATTCAAAAAACGAAAATTCCCGATATTTTCTGAACACACCTCGTATATAATATATTAAGAATAAAGAACAGTAAGGATATTTAATTTCTTACCTTTGGTTAAAAATCTGCCATGTTCACTTAATTCGCTGTTGTCGTCGTCATTTTCTCCCATCATATCATTTAAAATTAAAGACATGGTATTTTTATTTAAAAAAATTGTTTAAGTTCAAGTACTGTACACTACATAGTTTGAAAGGATCTTAATATTTTTTTAAACTTCTGTGTCGTTTTATATATAAAGGTAGGGCCATTTAATGCCCACACACATTAGAAATAATTTGATATAATTTACAATACTTATCTAGTATTGTTTTTTTATATACAGGGTTATCGGAAATCAAAGTATTTAAATAATTCAAATAATCTAATCAGTGTAAGTAAATGAGTATTTTAGAGACTTTTTTAATATAATATTTTGTGGTGAAATTGCAAAAATTGTGGCACATAGTAACACAACATTGTTATAATAATTTCTCCAATTTATTTAAAAATTTTAATAATTTTTGGAATACGATGGTGGTAAAAAAATAGAATACCTACCTAAACGTAATATAAACTAACACTGACAACATAAAATAAACATAACAAAACATAAACTACGAACTAAAAAAATAAAATTCGTATAGCTAATTCTAATAATATTGAGATGTAATTGAACATGATGCGTCTCCACTTATAATAGTACAAATGTCGATAGATTAAATATGTATTCAGCGACCATCACAAAAATTAAGATAGAATTAAGTTAATATAAACTAAAAACATAAATTACAAACTTAAGTAAATAGTAAGATGATCAATAATGTAGCACAGTAGGAACATAGAAACACTTTTTATCCTCATTTGATCACCAGGTCATAATTATTGATTAATCCCAGTCCCTGAACAATTTTGCAAATACCTACCCACCTATTCGGAAAAATAATATTCAATAATTACTCACCAGAAATGTGGTACTAACCTCACAATGATATACTTCCTAACACTAACTAAAACTGCAAACTGATGATGCAGATTGCAGTTGAGCGACCGGCAGACATCTTATTTTAAGCGGGAAATCATTTCATTGGTTATCTTAGGTGGTGTGATGCTTCACACCCGAACAAATTGTCAAATATTCTAAAATTTATATACAAATTATTTATAAAATTGTTTTATTTTTGAAATATATATACAGTATACTATTTTTTGGGTTAATATTTTGAGCCTCACTGTATATAAAGATACATCTCAATAAGGTATAATTATACTATTATATTATTGATGATCTTTACTACTTATCTATTATTTAATTTTGTATTATATAGTTGTTGTTTAGAACATTACTTCTGTTAATTGACTTTTATTATATAATAACCATATGGGTGGATTATGGGTAGGTGTATCACAAGGTAACATTGTAAACCATAAACATTATTAGTTAAGCTTTAATTGACAAAAATTGGGATTATAATTTATTAATATATTAACTCCCTGATTTTTAATTATTATTATATAAGGGTGATTCTACAAAAGTTGGGCAACTTTTGACCTCATTTTGTTTATATAGTTTTCGGAGAAAATTAAACAGTATTTTGTTATGAGAACATAGATAATATAATAAATATAGGACCGGGTCAGTCACTTTTTCAAACAGTTTCCGAAATATATGTGTTTTCTATATTTGAATGCAAGGAAAGTGACGAGTATACCAGGGTACTAATTAAATACATAATTTATTGGAAAATATAAGATTTATTGCAACTTTGAGCATATTATACATTAAATATCTTAAAATCAAATAATACCACACATCAGTGGCGGCTGGTGGATTTTGGGTATACCGATATCTTAATTATTAGATATGAGACCCACACCAAATTTATATGAGTTTATAATGACATTAAATAAACAAGTTCTGCGCAAGCAGAATTTAAATTGAAGTTTGCGATAAAAAGATAACCGAAACATAGAACATGGAACTGACGACACGGTACTGATGAATGGGATACAAATTTGAGATTATAATTCGGAATTAAGTATTTTACTGATATTTTTTATTAGTGGATGCTACTTATCAACAAATCACATATAGCCTTATATAAATTACAATGAAATATATATACGTAAGAAAATAACTACTCGCCACAGTACTGAAATTTTGACTGGAACTATACGTGCATTCACCACAACTTCGCCGCTTGCATTGTTTTCAAGATGACTGTTGTGCAAAGGGCGGGCTCTGTAGGTAATTTTTTACCAACACTTGAGTTAAAACGAGGACTTGGCGTTTAAACTTCAATATTTCGCAGGAATTTTTTTATCAATTTTTTAAAAATTGCCATTATTCGAATATATGATAAAATATGAAAAATACATTATTTAATGTTTTATAGTTTGTAGTGAAATTGAAAAATTGCTTTTGAAAAAATACATTAAAATTTGGTGGACAAGTTAAAAAATCCTGGATCTTTTGTAATACACTAAAATATTTACAAAAAATATTAAAATATCTACTCTATTTACTGATGACATCAAGTTGTCCAACTTTTGTAGAATCACCCATAAATTTAACAAATTTAATATAAATTAAAAATTTGTAGTGCTTTACACCACCTATAAATTTAACAGAAAATTAGTTCCCTTTACAAAAATTGCTCTCAAAAACTATAAATTTTAAATGATAAATAATCTTTTTCGTTTATTTCTTGCTCAGTTCGGCTTAGTATTAGCGAGGGTCGGTTCTTGAACGGAGAAAAAAAATAAGAGAGAAGTAATGCATGATAATTGCGTATAATACAAAAGATTGAAACCCCGCACCAAGAGAGAGGCTGAAATTAAGGCCTTTATTTTACAAAAGACTTTAAACCGCGACCGAATGACAGGTCTGTATTCAACATAAAACCTATTTTAAATGCAAGAACGAATACGCGTTTGCTCATTAAATGCTTTATATTTTTCCTTATTCCTGAACACTTTTTTCAATAACTGAATTAAAATTTATATTTTTTATGTATTTTTTACCTTTATAAACCTATTCGAATAACAAGTTTACTGGCTTACAAAATTTTGCAATATAATTTTAAAATTAAAATTTTAAAAGTAATTACCTAATAAACAATTTACCATGCCTAAATAAATTTCCTATGCGCTGTTTGTGTCCACTAAAATTTTTTAGTTTTTTTTATTTTTATTATGTTAATTTTTAACACAACAGAATGTGTAAAAGAAAATTAATATTTTTTTACAAAACTGCAAAGTCAATTTTATTTTTTTAAATGGTTATTTTAACCTAAACTAATAATTGAATACGTCAATGCAGAAACTGAATATGTCCTACCTATCTAGTTTTGAGATAAATAAGAAAAACTGAACAGAAAGTGGACATGTTCTGGTCATATTCAGTTTCTCTACTATATTAACGCCTTTGTATAATTATCTAGATTACCGTGACATGTGAAATTTCTACGCCATTCGATCGGGCACCCTTTACTTATAGTAAATCCATGTTTAACTCAATATCCCTAAAAAGTGGACATATTCAGTTTCTGCATTGACCTATTCAATTAATATGATTAAAAATCTGTATAACTTTAACATAATTAAATATGTTAAGTTTATTTATACTTTATTTATTTTACACAAAAAAGTGTTACTTTATCATGTAACTTTCTATAGAAATATATTGATTTTACACAAATAGTATCTTCATTTAATTAATTTAATTTGTTATTTTAACAATATTTTTTAATTAATTTTTACATTATTAATTGTTTATTTTTATTTATTTTAATAAAATATTTAAATTAATATAAGAATATTGTTTTTTGGGCAAAAAATAAAACATGTAAGTATGTAATAATAATAATAATTATTATACTACAACATAATTTAAAAAAAGGCCAGCAATGAAGCATTGGAATTCACTAAAATTGCACAATTCAGTCCTTTTTCTTGTATTCCAAAATAAAATACATTTCTGGGGATAAGTAAAAAAAACATATTCATAGCAAACTTACCTTTAAATTTTGTTAAACACACGCTTTATAAAAGCACACTTAACCTTAAAATTAGGAACCTCTAATCGAATTAACTATCATCAACCGACTAAACGCGGTTAGAAGACAAAGGGCCTTGCAAGGTACCGATTTTAATCGAAAGAAGGCGAAAATTAGCGAATTAGAAGAATAACATTTGTATTTAAGTTTAATTGAAAAAAAAAATACTCAATTGTTTTGATTTGATTAAAAATTTTCTGTACTCAAATATTTAACAAATATTTTTGAGTTAGATTAACACTTGTTGACTTGTCGCTTGAAACTAATGTATTTTTTCTACTCCCACCTTTAAAACGCCCTTTATCGTACATGTTTCCATGAAACTAAGTGACCTTTTAAATACACATTGACAAGTTGTGGCTTTACGGCGCTTTAGTCACGGGCTGAAGTTAGCAACAGGTTTTTAGTTACGGGCTGAAGTTAGTTTTAAGTTAGTTGACAGTTGTCAAATGTCATACAATCGTTAAAATAAAGTGCCTTTCTTGTAAAATAATACTAAATGTGAAAATTATTTTATTATCTCAATACAAAAATACAAAAGTATTAAATAGTTTCTCAACGCCAATATTTGAAAAGTTTATATGAACATTGTACTGACCTTTTAATTTCGCCGGCAGTAAACTATAACTTAAATTCGGGCACGGACTCCACTGTAAAGTCCTCATGAAACATTTTCTTTACTTTCACTGTGAAAAACTGTCAATTTTCAAAAAATACATTTCGATTTATAACCTTTATAATCTGTGTTTATAAAATACAAAAATGTGACATTTGACGGTGACACACAGTTTCCCCTGTTGTTTCATAAATGGCGCTCTATACAAATTTTTGATTTAAATCATTTTAAGATAATAATTAGGTAGTATTTGTCGTAGAAAAAGTATAGTATGCACCTCGTTTATAAACTTTTCTATACACTCATTAATTTAAGCACTCGCTCGCAAGCTCGCTCGTGACTAAATTAAATTCGTGTATAAAATGCCGTTTATCAAACTTGATACATAATCAATCCTTATGATCCTTTAACTCCAATTCATTGAACACTCTAAAACGACACGGAATTGTTTTCAGTCACTCAAATCTGTCAAACTTACCTTGAGAACTTTACTATTTAAAATAATTTAAACAATTGAGAACGTTACTATTTAAAATACGAACGCCATCTATTGAAATTAATCCAAAGTTTTACGAATTTTGATTTTGGTGGCATATCGAGTTATCAAATAATGAAATTTCAGGCAGCA